GGCCTGATAACCTGAACATGGCCCATGAAACCCAAGGGAAGGTGCCCACACCCTGTCACCACCACGTCCACCTGTTACTCAGGGGGATGTGCTGCCAGGTGAGGTACGGCATCACAAGGCTATACCTGTTGTAGTCAGTACAGTCACACACACAACCCCTGCAGCTCAGTGTACCGGACTCTGGGCTGCACTCTTTGCGACTGAACTTGGATGGCATCATGCCAGATTATCAGGGAAGCAAGAGTAGGAATAAATAACAAACATTTCAGTGCTAAGCACAAGTATATTTTATCTATAAAGCACCCATGTCTGTCTTCACCTTTGCTCAGTAAGACTCACACACACTGGATGTGTTTCTTGCAACAGAGGAATCTTGTAATAAAAAGGCAGCTAATTTCCTGAAGATTTCTGATCTAGTGGAAGATGGCAATTTTAGAAATGCATTTCAATCTGTCTGGCTGAACAATGGGACTTAACAGAGGACGTCTTTTTAAGTACATAGCTATCATACATGCTTGGAACCATTACTGAAAGTTTCATGTCCATGCCATTTTAATTAACCATTTTGGAACAACAACAAAAAAACCCTAAACAAACCCAACCCCAAGTCACATACATTATGGTCTATTTACCTGCTAATTCTTGGTTTCATTGAAGCTGCTTCTGAATTACAAAAGCATAATAAAAACTCCCATACTGGTAAGAACTAGTAAACATACTAACCAAACAAAAAGGCCCAGGATTGTTTCTGGCCAAGAACTGGTTAACTAGTTTGAAACCATGCTCAAGATTTCTCAAAAACATATGTCTTTCAGCCAAACAACACTGTTAACTTTAAAGTAACACAAATGCCTTGCTTTAAAAATATGCTTTTTTTCTGTTCACAGAGAACAGTAGTGTAAAAACAAATCATCCATGAAGCAGATTCTCACTTTGAATTTTATCCTTTGACAGATCAGTTGCTTCAAAATCCCCTAACAACCTAGGCAAAAAAAAGTTACAGAGTTCACATTTTAAAGACTATCAATTGTATAGACCAAATGCTGCTAACCCATGGGAAGATTTATGGACCATTTCTGCCATGGCCTGAAAACACTGGATGCTATTAGCATGAAACAAGTATCGTTATAGTAGTCTAGTAGGATTTTAAAGCATTTCACTGCTTTCTCACACCTTGCTTTTCTCTGGACAAAGACAGCTGTGATCACTCAGCAGGTCCTAAAGAGCTAAGTCACAGAAAAGGAACAGATTTTATATTGCCAGGTGACAAGAATGAACAAATAACATGACCTGGGCAATCGCTTAAAAGCATGTTAGTGCCAATTTCGCTATACTTTACATGGGATGATCAAGTTACTTTAGGATTTGAAAATTAAACAACCCAAAACCTATTTGAAGGAACTTAGCAAATCAAGGGCAGGGAGGAAGAAATCCACACTGAATCTGAGTTGGGCAAAATGAACCCGATCTATTATTCAGCTACACTGAACAGTAAAGAGCAAAGTGTACTCAGCATTAAGGCTAAAGATCTGATCATTTGCACGCTGCAATCAAATGTGCATTTTCATGGATATGCTCTGGTTTTAGCAGGTGGTGAGAGTTTGAATTTATTATTAGGAAACCAACCATTTTACTTGTTTAACGTGACATTTTCACGAAGGAATGGAGGTTAGTTACATTTCTAACAGGGTTTCAAAACTACATTTTGCCTATTCAACTCCAAAAACTAAGCTGAATATATGGCTGAAAGGATTAAAAGTCTAATCAAGGAAGTCAGAAAACAGGTACCAGTACAGCACCTAAAAATGGGTAATTCACATATTTTTGACATTTGTGTCTTGCATAGACAAATAATTAACTGTTTTCTCTCAAGACGACTCAGCTTCAGAAAACAGATCTTAAATCAACTTCACAATTAAATGCACATGTTCCAATTTTTCAAAATACCATGGTCTTCTGGTTTTCTGTTTAAACGCTACAAGACTAACGGTTTTATGAAACTATCACCCCTTGGAAAGGCTTTGTTTCATCTTTTTGGCTGTCAAGTTCATAAAGACAGGAAGGTGAACTGCATTCTAATTCTTCCAGAAACAAACAGATACATCATTCATGGATTAAATCTCAGTGGCCCTAGTCCACTAGAATATCCATAAACTGGATATTGGCACAGGAACTGGCCATATTTTGAATGTCAAAATGATACGTAGTGCCCACAGGTCAATATGAATTCCTGCCCTCCAAAGCCCTTTGACCATACCCTGGTCTTCACTGGAAGAAACTGCAGCTATACAGGCAAGATAAAACTGGAGGGCTCTAAAAAGATTCCTAATAGTGATCAGGGACCAGAATAAAGAACCAATTCTCTTGCAGGTAAATGCTGCCTGACATGCAGCCTTATGGTGTTTCCCTGTGGTTGGCAGGACTCCACCTTGACCCAATATCCACATCTAGCAAACTCTCTGCAGAGCCAGAGCCACGCCTGTCAATTCTAAATGTTTCCCAACATGGTTATTTCTTTGGAACAGTAACTTAAAAATATATCCTGACTGATTTGGATTTACTAAAATGCAGTATTTCTGAAGTTAAAAAGCAAGAGGACATTGCCTTGCCTGTTACAGAAATCTTGGAAAAAATGGTCTGAAAACCTTGTTTTAACAATCTAGATCACACTGAAAAATAATTAAAAGCTTCAAAATTCATAATTGCAGAATTATTAAATTTATTTTGAAAACAAATCAGTTCTATTGCATATGAATATGACTTTAATTGGAGGCGGGGAGGAATTATACATGGGTTTAAAGTTAGGCCCCCCCTATAAAGACTTTTTAACTAATGTAAACATGTACCTTTCCTGAATAGTGATGCTTTGCTTAAACCACCAATATTTTTTGCACATCAAGAAATGAAGGACACGTTTTTTTTTTAATTGTGAAAAGAACAAGTAGTTGTGTGGGGTTCACATCCACCACCAAATTCTGACTGAACTAAAAGACAAGGTTTGAGTTCCATATGTTAAAGCAATACCTGTGATTACATCGGTAAAGCCTTTTCAGTTTTAGGAATTCACATCCATATATTTTTATGTCTCTAATTTGACAATAAAACTATTCCATATTTCCCCTTTCACAGTAAATTCTGTCAACTTCACTTTCCAGGTATTGAGAAATTAACTCAAGACAAGTTTGCAAGTGTTCCAGAAGCATAGAAAGTCTGCTGCGTGTAAGGGGGGGGGGGGAGGGATAAAAAAAAAGCTAATTAACAGTTTCTTTCTGAAAGACAGACTTTCAGAAGTTTGCAAACCCTGATACCTGGTTGTTTCCAATTGAATTCCAAGTGGCACATAAACCACGTGCTCCTGAACCCTAATTCAGCATCTGTACAGATATTAAATTGTTCTAATATCCTTTCTTTTTCAAATCTCAGTTCTCACAGTTCTGAATGCAGGCAAACATCCATTGCCACATTATCTCCAAACCACAGAAGTTTTGTCCATTTTGGTTTACCCTTCCCTTCTCTGCTGGCCACTTGCTACCACAACAGATCTGCCAGCTGAGCTGCTTCCCAGACTTCCTCAAAGCTCTGCATGTAGATCTGAGGCAGCAGCACTGGTCAGGGAGGGAATGGAGACAGTGAGAAATAGCCTGTTCTTCCACCAAAGGCTGGTTTAGAAAAGCGTATTTTTGTCCATAGGCCTGTACACACCCAGAAGCAGACTGTACATCTGCCTGTGTGCTGGGGGTACAAGGATTAATGCAATATTAAACATCAAGAAGGGTAGCTGAGTAAAAACCCCAAACCAACCAACAAATATACCCTACTTTGTAATGGAAACTGTGGGGGTGATGAAGCACTCAGAGTTGAATCAAAAACAACTAAAAATACAGAATCCGCCTCTCAGCTCTAGTCATTTCAGGTATCCTTTGTAGGAGCAGTAGGTTGAATGTTTCCAAAGGAGCGTGATTTGTACGTAGTATCTGTCTTTTTAAATGTTTTGACGTCAAACTGGATTTGGCGATAGCCTTTGAGATAGTTATGCTATGTCAAAGCCTTCCTAATTACAGTTTTCATCATTCATTTACTATATTCTTTAACAAACATGTCACATTAGTAACAAAGCAGAAAAGTGTGAAGTAAACAAATTCTTTAGAAATTACCACTCCAGCTGGAGGAGATCATACAGCATTTGAACTAAGCAGCAAGATTCTCAACCAGGAATCAGTGAAAACCATACCAGAAACATCACTTGTGTTGAATAATACCCAACACAAATTGTTCAAAATAGCCACTAGCCACTGAAAACTATTACTGTTCTCCATGTAGGTATGCAAATGCTACTGACATTTCTTTCTTAAGTTTTTCTTCATACCAACTCTTGGAAGACAATCTTTAAAGACCAGCTTCCAACCATTTAAGCATGTTTAAAAGTACATGCATTAATCCTACTGAAATCAATGGGACCTAAGCACATGCCTGAGTGTTTTGTGAAGCAGAAATTAAGTATACAATTAAATATTTGCATCTGCCAAAGGACTTTGTTCAAATACAATGTCTAAAGAGTCTAAAAGTTATCATCTTTTTCCCTGTCATGTGAGAAATGCAACTAGCTTCGGTCTAAATCAGAAGAAAGTTCTGGCTTTGATCTAATCCAACACTGTGATGAATGGACAGGGGGAAAAGAGGACATTGATCATACCATGAGACTCTTGGAGTCTGATATTTGTACTTAACAACAGGAAATACAAAGCTTCAAAAGTGTTCATGGATAGACAGATTCCAAACTTTGGGAAAGAAGAAATGAACCACAAAACGAAACAAAAAAATTAGCACTAGCTCTTAGTTTTTAAATGACACACGAGGATTTTCTACTCTAAAAAAGCCTGCTGTATATTCTGGTAGTAACCTTCATATCTGAAGAAATTTTATATAAATCCTTAAGTTATATTTCTTTTTGTATTAGGGGAAAATATTTCAAATGCAATAAAATAGCAGTGATTGCAGAATTCATGACTGTATAGTAGGCACCTTTTCATTTTTCAGATTCAGATGTACAAACTATAAACTGTTAAATTGCTCTAAAACTGGAAAAGTTGTGGGTATTTGAATTTACTTACCTGAATACTCATTTAGCAAGTATCTGCAGATACAAGTCTAGATACAGAGTTAATGCAATCTGAGTATTAGTTTACACATAATATAAACCAATGTTTGACAATATCAAAATCCCACCAAACACTGGGGCCTTCTTATGCTATTATCAAATATAGTATATCATTGTGGGACAGCTGACAATCATAGAATGCTAGCATAGGCTCATTTATTAAATTGGGTCAGTTTTCAGACCTTCCAAATAGGAATACTAAACATTTATTTTTCCCCTCTGGAAATTTTTTTTTTACCTCCTGCTTAATACAGTCGTCATCCCAATTCCTAGTGAATTTATAAAAATATTTTTTTTATCCAATAACCCCGGCAAGGTAAAAATAGGAGTTTTCATAGCAAATGATAAACAGGCTCACGGATTATGAGAGAAACTAAACTTATTTAAATTGCCATACATTCGCTACCGAATCACACATCAACATTTTCTTTTTATGTGTGTTGCTGTCCACCTCAGACTAGCAGTTTTTAAGGTGCAGAAGCATCTTTCAAATATATGCATCTAACTTAATGATCAAGTTCCACACACTAGTGTCACATGCTTTAAATTTACATCATCTGCCCATCAAAAGCTGTGTTAAAAAACAGCACTAACTGAAACTGCATAATTCTTTAGAAATGACAGCACTTTTAATTCATAGAACAAAGGGTTGCTTATGTGGTTCTTTATATTACTAGATATAATTTTACGAAATAAGAAAAAGAAATGAAGAGAAAAAAAACATTTGAAAGAAGTTGCTGCACCTGCAAAAACACTCTTTAAGCTTACTATGAAATACAAAAAAGTGCACCCTTCTATATCTACATATAAAACATATTAGAAATAAAACTTGTGTAAAATGTTTGCTGTGCAAACTATAAAAAGTCAGTCAGTCAGTTTATTCTTTCTCCTAAACATTTTGTCACACTCTCTTGCTTCCTACTGCAAAGAATCGCTGTTATCCAAGACCAGCCCACTGATGTTTGTTGTTGAGAGATCGCCTCCATCATCTTCACCGCTGTCTACAGACTCATCCTCACTTTGCCCTGCCATCATAACCTGCTGAACAGCCAAAGTAGCACCATCGGATGACAAAGACTGGAGACTGTCTACATTCATGTTGACTGGAGCTGTAATTGTTACAACAGCACCTGGAGAAGCACAATTGCAGTACTTTATTAACTTTCTTGTTTCTAATTTTAAGTAATGCATATTCATATATAATAGAGCTTGTTTCTAATCAACAGGAAGAAAATTTAAGGAATTAAATGAAAACAAAAGCTATACAGGTTGTCAAACACTTAAAAACCAGGAAATCCCAGAATTAAATTGGCCAGGAATAGCTGTGTTATGGATACCTATTACAACAATTTCCCAATCAAGTCATCACAAGACCATTTCTGCGAAGTATTCCAGCTTAATTCATTGCAGAAAAATGCAAGGGTTCATAGAGATTCAGGGTGACTTAAATGGATAAAGCTATTGTCAGACCCAGGAGATGCTGAGGGAAAAGTAACTACAAACTGGGAAAGAATAAAGCAGGAGACAGTAGGACAGAAAGGATGGTCTTGAACTTAAAGCAGTTATTTTTCTTTTTTAAATTGAGTCTATTTGATCTGATGCTACGGAAGTTATTTTAGCCAAAGTCTTTGGAAGCTTTATTACATTTATCTGCTTCTCAATGTTCAACTTGAAACACGAGGCATATATAGAATTGCAGATGCTTAGTCCCTCTAGGAACAGTTGAAAGGAATGTGAACAGGATGGGGAGTCATGGAACTGCAGTTTCAGTTTCATACTGCTAATCAAACAGAATGCTACTGATGTGCATTACACATACTGAAAGAACTTAGTTGTTCACCTAACCTTTGTTTTGTATCTTCTGAAACAAAAGCAATTTTCTCTTCACATAAATTCCAATAAAATACCCCTCTAAAAACACAGAAACTTTTTAAAGAGGTATAACTTAACACATATCTGTTATGTTTTTCTAGATTAAAAACACATCTATACCAAAATATCAAGAAGTTTCCTTCTCCCCAAGGGCATCAAACCCTTAATTTCCCTGTTACAGAGGAATTAACTTCAGTATCTGTGGTTTAGCCAGTTCTCCTTACCATCTGACATTGTAAGCTCATTAGATTGCTGCTGAGCAACTCCTGAGGCAATGGAGTCAGGCCAGAACCTCTGAACTGGTCGGTTCTGAGCCGTTTTCTTCTTTGTTTTTGGAGTTTCGGAACAACTGGAATCCAGCATTGGCTGAAGAATTCGCCTTCTAGCATTGATAAACCTAAACACAACCAAACGTAAGCAGTACTTATAAGCAGTTGACTATAAATTCTCTCTCAGATTCACACAGTGTGCAGTGGGGGTGGGGAAGAAATATAAAAAATTCTTTCTAACATGTAAAACTGCTCCTAGAACACTGACATCCTTTGATTTTTGGTGAACTAGCTAAGAAAGTACTTCTATCATTTTGCTGCTAGCAGCAATTTTTCCCCTACCTCAGAAGGGGAAATTCTCTAGACAGCATGACAGATGTACATTTCAAGATGTTATTAAAAACTAAGCACCACAAAACTTGCTGACAGCACAGCTCAGGAAGCTGATACTCCTCTCATTAGAGTTCACCTAAAACATAGCCCCTTGCCTATGTTTGTTTGGTCTGGTTTCATTTACCTCCTTAAGCTCCTGCATTACTTATTTTACAGGCTCCCTGGCTTTCCAAGGTCTGGTTCCTGATCCAGGAGACAACAGCAAACACGTTTTCCAGATCTTTCCCATTTCCTTTTCATTCCCTGATTTTCACTTGTTTACTTTAGCATGCTGATTGCTGTCCTTCCACTTTCTGCTAGTAAGGAACATACTTAAACCAGGTCTCACTTAGCTACCATTAGTTAGGTGAATCAATTTCAGTGTAGCTAGCTGTGGCAAGCTGCTGTGACTGAGGATGGCATCCCTTGCTAAATCTGACAGAACACATCCAGGACCCATTTTTACCTGCAGTGGAAGGAAGTAAGGTGCAGCTGGCAGTTCCACATGATGTAATGCAATGCTTTGTAGAGATACTAGTTAGATCCCAGTACCATAAAGCTCAGTTACTGTGGTGTCACAGAGAAACAGTTACACTGTTCCACTTCTGGAATGAGTGTACTGCTACTATCTTGAGTATTTCTCTGCAGCCACACAGCCAGCGTCATCTTTGAAATCTGAGGAAGATCCCTGCTGGACTTAGCTGCAGCAATTTTAGGAACTAATACCACAAGCAGAATAGGATGCATGCTAGCACCCTTTATGCTCTTTTCTGCAGGGCAAGTATATTATCTTAAACCTCTAGTGAGACATGCTAAAAACATGGTGAACCATGAACTAGAGTAGCTGGAGTACTGACACTCTCCATTTGGACATCATTGCTCAGAGAACAGCATCCTTCCACTGAAGAGCAGAATGAATATCTGTGGACAGTAACTTCTTGAACATTTGCAACCACAATTTCCAGAGAACACTTTTCAGAGCCTCAGGTCGCTAGATGCCTTTAAATTTCAATTTCTTTACTTGCAGGAGAGACATGAGAGCACTTCCATCTCTTTCAGCAATGGAAAAGAACGTAAATCCTTAATGTTGCAAAGTTTTCTGGAGTCCTTATATAATCTAAATGGCAGAAGTTAATGTTATACATAACTATAAAATAATATCCTTGTGTATCAGTGAGCAATTCTTGTATTTTTATGTATTTTGTAACATGTTCAAGTCCACATGTCCAAGTTATACTCTTAACTACTTCTCTATGTTGCAAGCATGTGGAGACAATGACAGATGCTAAGTAAGAGATTCTGCGCTTACCAGTTGTTAACCTGGAGTAGTGTCAGATTTGTTTGTGCTGCAATCTGTTTCTTCTCATCCTCTGTTGGATATGGATGCTGAACAGGACAAAAAACAAACAAACAAAAAAAAAAGAAAAAAGGCAAGGCATAAGCTTGTTTCATCTCCTCATAAAAAATAAGGACTCCTTTATTACAACTGATTAAAGCTGCTAGATTAAGACCACCTGACTCATTAAAAACAAAACTTTAGAAATCTGTCAAACTTTCATATATGAAGATAATTTAACAAACAGCACTTTACTACACAAAGCTGATTTTATCCTTGAAAGTGATACCATTAAACTGCTGATGTGTAATGCAGAATAAAAAGCTTCTCATGGCTGACAGTCTTTATTAAACAGCATGATCCCCAGGCAACACAGCATGTGATAAGATCTGATTAGTTATGCTGTCTAAAAGCAATGTCGTATGAGAGTACTGACAAGCACTTTCTACTTAAATAAAGCTACTCTGAACTAAACAGATGAAGAGCATATGTAATATTAAAGAAGTGTACATGCATTTCCCCTGTATCATTTGTCTGTTGTAAAATATTTGTAAAAGACAAAATATCACTCAACTAAATACTGTGATATAACTTGAGACCTATTCATCCTTTTAGGGATAAGCAAAGGAAAGACACACTATAAAGAGCACACTTAGTCCAAATTAGAAGGACTGTTGGAAAGAAGATAAAGCAAAACATTTTGACATTCTCCTCAAAAAAATAAAACAAAACACAAAACACAGATGGAACCATTTTTTCTCGTGCCATGAGCCAGGGCAAAGAGATCATTAAGTTCTCAACATAATGTGATGAAGAAAGATCCTTTTTAACAATGTTTATTAAGATCATGAGGTACAAATGTAACATACTTATTAGAACAATAATAAAAATCAACAGACATTAGACTGTGGAACTACTCCAACTACTTCAGGGAAAACTGAACTGCGATTACGCAAATGACACCAGAATAAATCCACCTTCTTTACGATGGAAAATCATAAGAGACCACATAAAAGAGTTACATAAAAACCTGTGACTCCTGATCATGTTCCGTCCTTACCCCTATGTGCTGAAAAAGCCAAGATCTCATCACATTTGTGGCGTGCTTGGGAAGAACTCCTCTTTTATTTTTTGATGAGCCATCATCTTGATGCAAGATGCCTAGATCTTGGTTTAATTGCAACTGAAGCTGCACATACAATTTTAGAAGAAATAAAGCAGTTAACACAGTAATAGCATTCTGTATCAATGTATGAATAACTCGTTTATAGAAGGAATGAAATCAGGCTTGATGCATGCTGATTATAAAAAGCTATGTTATTTGCTAGGGAAGACTTACAATAGTAGCTCTCCTATAGCAGCATTCTAGGATATCTTTATCCAAGAAGAATGCGGTATCAGATTCCTATAGTTTTCACATGTCATGTAACTTCTGTTTTAAGAAGTATAGCTGTCATCAGGTTATGTCCGTGATCTTATGACAATTCCAAATGCTGGTTTACTATAAGTTAGAATGAAATCCACCTATGTAGCACATGTCAGGTTAATGATCCTCTGTACTTATCTACGCTACCCTAGGGATCCAACTGCTTTGACAGCCTCTGTAGTCATTTGCACACGTGAAGAGCAATTCAAAAACACAATGCTGAACATACTGACTGTGTGCAAATACTAACAACAAAGCAAGCTGTAAACCAGTACTGATTAAAGCCTTAAAGTAAAATTAATTATTATGCTAGAGCTACACAGATGCTGAAGGTTCTTCTGAAGAAATACATCTAAATCCTCAAAGAGCAAGAAGATACATATGGTAGAACCCTCAATGCATTTTACGACACACTATTTTCCTAAAGGGTCCTATTTCTTTCTTACTTTTACTTTCTTTTCCACTTCCTGTGGGTACATCATTTACATATGAGTTACCAGAATATGACGGACACATTCTTAAATGCTTACGCAGAGATAACAAGAAGAGTAAATAAACTGTATATGAAATTATATTTCAGACAATTATAATGGAAATAAATCTAAACCAGTTTCTTCAGACAATACAGAGCAATTTTTTCAAGCCAGTCATTATGTCTATATGTTGTATGAAACAAGTTTTAAACAAGGCTTATGCTATCAAATTACAACAAATATGTATTCGGAACATACTTTCTTTTTTTTTTCCCCCAGAATAATGATTTACATTTTAAATAACCTGCTGGTGTATGGAGGTTTTACAATGAACTCAGGATAGGTCTTCCCCTACTGAGAAAGAAGAATTTCAAGAAGGGTTTCCTATGGGTGACAAGGAAAATAGGTTCAAACCCATAAGTGGGTTTGGAGATTACTTCTCACATCAAAAGCAGACATAGAGATATACATATATATAAAAAATATATACATGTATATTTTATATATATATTTATATATATATATAAGGTCAAGACCATTTTTATTTATAGGCTATAGGAATTATTTTCCAGTCACTAATTTTTTTTTCCCCTCAGAGGAATAAAAAGCATTTTTCTTCAAAACCACTTCAGCCTAGGATAGTAATTTTACACATTTCTTTCTGAAAGGCATCTGAGGACAGAACTGCATGCATTCAAGGGAAGAATACAGGCAAGTACATATATGCTACTGCCAGTGTAAAGAAAGTAAGGATATTCTAAGCATACTTTTTTGTTTGGAAGGTCAGAATAAGGAAGATGAGAAGACACTGCATTAGCGATCACCACCAGATTTTATACCGTGGAAATGGTAGCTCCTCATTCACACTTTTAATTGACTCCAGATTCCTGGAAGACTTATTTACCAGTTCCTGCTCCAAGAGAAAGCTATCAAGGTTTTCTGTAACTGAAGATGGTTTAGTTTTCACATTTCCTTTTCCTTAGTTGTTTCTTTGAACACTCCAGATCCAGCCCTTAAGAGCCTCCCCAAAAAAGTGCTGGCCCTTATCTTTTAGGATATAACAAGCCCAATGTAAGGATCTCCCATAGTCTCACCTGAGAGTTTTGAAGGTTTTATGGCAAGATACTTCTCAGCATAAATAAATTCCAAAATACATACAGTTTCACAATACTGGTGGCTGCCATCATGATAAACAGCCGAATTTCAGACAACACCAGCACCACACCATTATGCAGCACAGTAAATCTATCCAGCCATAAACCTAACTTAACAATTAGAGAAGTTCTATTCATTGAAAAAAAGTGTCTATTTAATTCAGAGGGGTTTGTTTTTGTTGTTCAGTTTGGGGGGGATGCTTGTTAGGTTTGGGGTTTTTTATTAATTTTTTTTTCTTTTTTTTTTAAATCCACGTACACTTTACTGCCATCAGTGAAAAAAAAAGGATACTTAACAGGTAGGAACTGTGATGACCTGCCATAGTGAGGGAGATCTGTCTGGGACTTTATGCCACTTTATACAACTTTTAAATCCTCCAGGAGTGATTGCATTAATTCTACATTAGTTACTATATGTGTGTACACATAGCTCATTCTGACAGTGTGTTAAATTTAAACCAAACCTCTTAAAACCAGTGAGATTTATTTGAACTCAGAATAGTATTCTGCATGAAACAAACCTGAGAGTTTTGGATCCGAATAGTCCCAGGTGACAATGCTTGTGTCACCACTTGACCTTGTGGAGTGACCACAGTGACTGGCTGATACACTGTCCCTCCTTAAAATAAAACAGCAACAAAGATTACAGGTAAGTAAAAGCCCTTCAAACGTTATTCTTTTTAAACACACAGACACACCAGCACTGTGAACAATATAGCAGTTTTGATAATATATCAACTATTATCTTCTAGTAAGCAGGTAAGATATGCTCTTTGCTACACTACATTTTCCATGCACAAAAATCTGTACAAAATTTCATTTTATTTCCCTGCATTTTAGGCATTCTGAATCCATTTTCAAAGGACAATGCCATGAATATGGCTATAAAATAATTCATAGTTTTGTTTTAGCTAACTCTTCAGCCAACATAAGCCTCAACACCAATAACACACGTACACGTGTCAAGTGGTTAGAGTGGTCAGCTGGGTGAGACCTCGATATTCAGATCAACCAAGGTGACTGAAGCTTGGTGAATGCACAGAGCGTCCTGGACACCAAAGCCACAAAGCACACATGGTGTCTCAGGATAACCTCTCTCCAAGTATATGCTGCAGGAGAAGACTGCACTGCTTTGTTGCCTTTGTAGTCAAGGTTTTTCTCTGTTTTTCTCTTTTATCTTGCTTCTAAGCTTAGATAAAACATTTCGGTTCAAATGTCGTTTCCACACAACAGCAAAACAACTTGGACATCCAGGATTTCACAGACTTGTAGGTGGGGTTCCAAATTCCACAGACCATGAGAGAGCTAACAAGTTCAGTATTTTAGGTAATGCATGTTTTTGTCAAACAGAATGCCATTATTTTTTTTTTTTGAAGAAGGAAATGCCTTTTAACAAAACTAGTGATGCACAGAAAGATCACTTAATATATATATATATATATATGTAAACTCCACCCACATATGCATAGTTAGTACACATATAAATTAAACAAGTGTTCAGAAACATTAAGGCATTTAACCGTATTGTAACAACTTTTCAGGTATTGAAGTTAAAAAACCTTTTTAAAGTATTTGTGTGCTTTTTGTAACAACTATAAAAGAAACAAAATTAAGAGCAAGGCGCCAGTTTTTTGTTACTGTGTCATACCTGCTACTGTTGCCATAGTTACATTTCCCTGCTGCAACGCTGATGCTGGCACCATAATCCCTTGGGGACTGAGTGTGCCTGCAATGGCACTTGGAATTTGCTAGAAAAATAAAACAATTAGTTGCTTGCACTTTTTTTTTTTTTTAGGGAGATAAAGCATGCTTGTGTAATTTTGGCTCTAAAAATACATTTGGAGTTTAATCACAGGATTAACTTCAAAGATAAGAAGACTTTCAGTAGAGGTTCATCATTACGTACATTAACTTTTTCATTATCACCAACCATTACCTTTGCAAACCCTCAAGAAAGCAACTGTTAGAAAAGACATAAAACTAGCTTGGGGAAATTTTAGGAGAGAAATGATTTTAGCTATACAGATACTAAGAGAAACAGTTTCTAAACGTGCAAGGGAAAGGGGACACATGAGATGAACCCTCAGTGGTCTTATTAGAAGCGTCAAAGCTTTAGAATTTTGATTATTACCTTAATTCCTTCAATTCCAAAATAATGTATTAAGTATTCAAGTTGCCAAATATATTTTATTCTGCTCAGCATAGTTCTTACTCAACCATGACTATGCAAACTGTTACACTGTCCTGGGTTCAGCAGTAGCAGTCATTTTTCTCCTTCTTAGTAGCTGGTACAGTGCCATGTTTTTGACTTTCAGCCTGGGAACAATGCTGGTAACACCGATGCTTTCAGTTCTTGCTCAGTGATGTTTACTCTGACCAAGGACTTTCTTTATTATTCTTTTAATATGGAATAATCTCTATTTTTACCAAATGGTAAATTCAGTTTCTCCTGTCTCTACAGAAGGCTGTAACACATATACAAAAAGCATCTTTTAAAATAAGTTGCTTTTGTCTGATTTTAGACTCTCCTTTCCACACTTCCAGACTTAAGGAGTCCAGACAGTGAAGATTACGTCACTGAGGCTTTTCAGAATACACAGCATCGAACACATTGGCAAGTCAGAGAAGGGCCATCCCTTAAGACTAGATACGTAGCAGGCACTCTGATGACAAGACTTACTTTCTAGCATCCAACAGCAGAAGCATCAACCATAATGTAGTATCTGCTGTTAATTAACTGTTGTCAACTTACTACAAAAGATGCAATTGGTTATGACATTTAGGTAATGTCAGTAACACATAAACTGGGCTTCACATGTATAAAAATAGGTACTGTTCATAACTGCACAGCTACCCCAGGTGATATGCAATGATGTATTTCAAATATTGCAACCACAACCCATCAGACATTGTCTATTTGTTCCAGAATACAAATGGTGTATAAAAAGTATCAGTCACTTCAATATTTTCATGGAGCAGACCAGACTAAGGAGACCTTCTTAACAAGGAATTTTTTTCTTCTTCGTTTATCCTGTTTCCTAGCCTTTTCCCAACAAAATAGAAAATCCAGGCTATTCTGAGTATTTCCATTTGCTGAACTGACATAAAAGGAATCATAAAAGGAAGACAGACTAAAAAAAAAAATGACTCCATGCTTTGGCACATTTCAATAAATTTGTCCATCAGGCAATGGCACACAAGGGAGCACAAAAAAAATTACAGCTCTTTCTACTCCTAATAACCAATTTTAAGAAAGCCAAAGAAACAGCAGAAACTCTGTTTGCAAACTAAAGCAACAAAAGCGTAGTTATAACTTCCTAAGGAAATCTGAGCAAAAATACATAACTATTTGAAGCATACCTGAGATTGCACAGGTGAATAAGGACTTCCAGGCTCTCCACTTAATAGAGTTTCACTGTTCATTTTTGTCTTCAGGCAGGCAATGTAACGACTACAGAAATCCTTGCAGAGTTCATTAACCTTTTCTAGCTCAAGCAGATGGATACGTAGAACCTGGATTGCTTTTACCATCTATGGAGGGAATTGGGAAAAAAAAAAAATAGAAAAAAACCTCAACTGTTATTTAAAAGACTATTTAATCTGGATTTAAGCAGATACTACTTTCCAGTAACAAAGACTATCCAATTAAAGCAGTATTACTAATTGCTAAGTGCTGACTAGGATTCTCTAGCTGTGACCATTATGCTCCTGAAATGTGAGAGGATCATGTTTACATACAAAACCTGTATATTTCCGCTGCATAAGTAAACCACCATAAAGAGGAAACAAAACACAACAACAATGTAACCTTTGTCACATGTGACTCATTAGGCAGACAGACCACAGTTAAGGTGTACACGGAGCCCATGTGATCTTTATCCTCATCATACAGCTCTGAAGTAAAGACTGAAAGTAAAGGCAAGTAATCCCATCCACACATACTATTTGGAAAGCATGGCTGAAACAGGCTTGGTAAGTAACAATCGTCTTGAGCCTCATATCAGAAGTATCAGGTTCAGTTCCACATTACACCCTGACCCAAGAAAAACAAAAGTGTACAGAAGAATTTGAGATACACTGCAAAGACCCCTTCTGTAACAGCATAAATTTGTCACACAGACTGTAAGGGAGGGTAAAAGGCCTACCATCTGACCTATAATAAAAACACAATAGCTTTTATTTTTCTATAAAGTTAGAATAGAAAAGGTCCCAAAGTTTGTCACATTGTCCAGAAAGCCTGAAGTAATCAAACAGTTCTTCAGTCCTAGAGCTCTGAAGTTCTCCTGCAATTGTATATCAAAGATTAGCAACTCTGGGGTAAAATCTTGTAAGAAAGGAGACTCTTTCTGAAATACAAACCATTAAATACAAAGCACTAAACCCAGTAACGATCCATGTTTAAACAAAAATCGAAGTACAGGAGATATGCACATGATGAGAATACTTATGATGCTTCTGTGAGAAAAATACTTGTAAGCTTGGATAGCTAATACTGCATAAAAATAGCTTAGGTGATTGTAAGGGTCACGACAGAAGATCAGCAGCTAAAATCAAATCCAGATGGTCTAAATTTTCATGAAGCAGCAGGAAATTGAGGACATTCAAATATGTACATAATACATTGGCAAAGTAATTATTTTTTATACAGCATGCTATCCCCAACGTTTACTTGCTATGCTAGACCTCAAAGAAAAATATCCTTCAGTTTTATGAAACTGAGCAGAGTTTAATTTTGAAACACAGTGCAGAGCTTGCTTTTAGCATTATTTGGAAAAATTCGCCCTATGTGAAGGGTCATTTACCTGGCCAGAGCACTAAATCCAATGACAAGAAATGATAGCTTACTAAGCAATCCATTTAGTACAGTTCTTACTAAAGAAGGCAACTGGGAGCTGAAGATGCCTTTGTTCAAAGCACCTGAAGATCAAGGCAAACAAACATCTTGGTGTGCTGCCTTCTCCATCATGATGGCTTTAGCTTTCATTGTGACAGATCTTTTTGCCATTTTTTCCAACAGAAGGGACTCCAGTAGTACTGCATTCACCCAGTGGAGACAACTGTATGCTAAAATCATAGAATCATAGAACAGTTACGGTTGGAAAGGATCTTAAAAGATCATCTAGTTCCAACCCCCCCTCCCCCCTCCCCCAATGGGCAGGGACACCTCACACTAAACCATGTCAGCCAAGGCTTTGTCCAGCCTGGCCTTGAACACTGCCAGGGATGGAGCATTCACAACTTCTTTGGGCAACCCATTCCAGTGCCTCACCACCCTCACAGTAAAGAATTTCTTCCTTATACCCAATCTAAACTTCCCCTGTTTAAGTCTGAACCTGTTATCCTTTGTCCTGTCACTACAGTCCCTAATGAAGAGCCCTTCCCCAGAATCCTTATAAGCCCCCTTCAGATACTGGAAGGCTGCTAGGAGGTCTCCACGCAGCCTTCTCTTCTCCAGGCTGAACAGCCCCAACTTCCTCAGCCTGTCTTCATACAGGAGGTGCTCCAGTCCCTTTGATCATCCTCATGGCCCTTCTCTGGACTTGTCCCAACAGTTCCATGTCCTTTTTATGTTGAGGAGACCAGAACTGCACACAATACTCCAGGTGAGGTCTCACAAGAACAGAATAGAGGGGCAGGATCACCTTCTTCGCCCTGCTGGTTACGCTCCTCTTGATGCGGCCCAGGATACAGCTGGCTTACTGGGCTGCAAGTGCACACTGAAGCCAGCTCATGTTAAGTTTCTCATCAACCAACATCCCCAAGTTCTTCTCCACAGAGCTGCTCCAGATAAACAGGGAAGGAGGGACGAAGGCACTGGGCTGCCTGGAGGATGGAGGCAGAGCCATTCCCTCTTCCTAGCCATCCCACCCCCAAAGCCTCAGGCCGCTCACCTGCCTTGGCAGTCACGGCTCCCCATATTCTGTGGCAGCTTTTGGCACAAAAGGGCTCGATTTCTGGAGCCCCCTGTACTAAACAGCTGCAGTTAACTGTACACCCAATAACACTACCATGGTAAACAAAAGCTGGGGGGCTAGTATAGCATCTTTGGGGCTGAACAAGAGTCAAAAAACCAAAAAAGTGATAAAAAAAGGGAAAGAATTCTTATCCTCTTCTTTCTCAGGAGTAAAAAGAAAAAAATATCTTTATAAGCACAGCTGCAGAAAAATCTCAGCTGTAGACTTGAGGCAGTTGATCCAAATTAGTATCTGGTAACTCATACAACCTGTCACAGAGTATCACAGTATCACAGTATGCTAGAGATTGGAAGGGACCTCAAAAGATCATCTAGTCCAATCCCCCTGCCGGAGCAGGAACACCTAGATAGTGTTACACAGGAATGTGTCCAGGCGAGTTTTGAATGTCTCCAGGGAAGGAGACTCCACAACCTCCCTGGGCAGCCTGTTCCAGTGTTCCATCACCCTCACTGAGAAGAAGTTTCTTCTCAAGTTTAAGTGGAACCTCTTGTGTTCCAGTTTGTACCCATTACCCCTTGTCCTACCATTGATTACCTATGACACCAGAAGTCTTCTAAATATTAAGTGCAATGGCCTAGCACTAAGGTACGCCTTCTAGAACAGGCCTCAGCAGTGATGACTGCTTAAACTGTGTTTAAGTACCTTAAACATAACCGAGTTAAGCTCTGCAAATTTAACTAGGTTTTAAAACAAAACAAAAAAGACATCTATGTTTAAAGATATTTTACCTGCGTTTCAAAGACAAAAAAGCTTAAATTATAAAATTTTTCATGTATGGCAGACCAACAAAGAGCACATACATTAGTGAATGCCTTAACATTCAGCTTCAACTGAGGTAACAAAAAAAGGTGCCTTTGGGCACATAGTATTTGACCATATCAGTGATTAGTTTTACTCAGGCAGGAGGTTTTTTTTCTCCCGTCTTAAACCAGAATCCACATTTATACTATTTATTTATCAGCATTCGTTCAGGGGAAAAATAAAAGTCCTTTCTTCAGCTTAGATTTAGTTTCCGATTGATGGTTGGTACTTGAAGTGAAAACTGAATGAAAGTCAAAACTGACCATAAACCAAGAATTAGTAACAGTACCCACGTTTCTGCAGAGCCACACACAGTCACACTGCTCTTACAGGAAGCTGCGCTACTGTGGTTAGGAAGGCAAACAAAACTTTGTAAATATGCCATGCCTGTCACCAGGACTTATTTACTCATTTACAGCTATGCTAATTGTGGCCATATGGCTCCTGCTCTTGCAGCATGGGTGGACCAAACCGTAAATTTGTTGGCAAAGGTCAGTTTTCCTTGAAATAATAATCCAAACCAAAAAAGCAAGAACTCCTGATAAAATCATCCTTGCTGAACGAAGGTAATACAAATAAATGTTTCCAGACAGATCACAGCAGCAGTAATACTTCATTCCTATGTTCTTAAATTTCTAACCTTAAAAATCTACAACAATCATGAACAAATCTACAACAGAACAATGAATTTTTATAACACAACTGATTCAGCCTTGCCAGCTGCAGAAATAAACCTGGAGCATAATTTCCACAGAAATGCACAAAGACAGAAGTAACCATAAGATATATGGCAATTGTTGGAACTGTTCTATTTAAATAAAGGTAACGGTAAACTACTTAGCAGGGAAAAAGATTACAGAAAAACTTCCAGTTCTTGCTAAAACTGCTATCTACAGCAGTGATAAATTTATCATGTATTAATTTTGGAGACATCTTTAGCCCTAAAAATGCCTTAGATTGTGCCTGCATCCTGTCTTTTCAGTGCCTCAAGCACATGATTTATAGGGCATAGAACACACTATGGTCATAATCCCCAGATCACCTTCATTTATCCAAAACATATACCCACCATTTTTTACAAATTTCAGGGCACACAACACAAGCATATAGCAAATACAGATGGGGACAACATATATGGAAAAATCTTCATATACTGACAACTAATCTTCTCGCTCAAATGACTCTTCTTATTTGAAAAAAAAACAAAACAAAACAAAAAACACCCAAGAAACAAACCACCAAAAAACCCAGTTAAAATATGTACATTCACAACTACCCTACATTCCTGAGCAAATCCTTCTGGGGCAATTTAGGTATTCAAGGGAAGAATGTGAACTCTCGGAGGGGGGCTATTTTGTTTTCATTTGTTTTGATTTGATAACCTCTCTCCTATGTTTTAAGACCCCAACTAGGACCCAAACATTGCTAGCAAAGGTACGATTAGAGGTTTATGAGACAGCTGTGCACATTACAATAGTAAGAACACTTTTCAGAAATGTAAAAGCATAGCTTGTTCAGTGAAGAATATCCATACGACATCAGCTGACTTCACCACTACTAACACTTTTCCTGACACAACTGAAAATTCAACAGGATAGTCTTTGAGAAGAAGGTACTGAACCAAAATTCCTTATCCCAAATGAATCAAAAAACTCGGGTGTCTTCAAAAGAAGGTAGTGTCCTGTTCAAATAGGAAAGTGAGAGTATATTTAATGCCCCCTTGTTTTGTAATGCTTCTTGACTTGATAAAGCCTT